CCAACTCTTCCCTCTAACTAAAATCCATTTCTCTTTCTGCCTTCTTTGTTTTCCTTGAAGGTGGACCTGTTTTCTCTGCTCCAGACCTCGTGCCTTTCCTTCGGCTCCCACAGGCTGTGACTCTGCCGTCTTCACTCTCCCCTGCAGGCTCTCCCAGGTGCTCTCTGCTTCCATTTCCACCAGCACCTCCCTGCTCAGTGAACTTCACTCGGCTGAGTCCAGGCCTCTCTCCTGGACGACGGCAGCAGCCTCCTGCCCAGCATCCTGCCCCGGGCCCACCGCTGTCATCTGCCCGTGCTCCCTCTGTGTTCCCAGATCAGAAACCGCCCTGTACTCCCACTACCTCCCAGATGGGCATTTGCTGTTTGGCTTGATTGATTATTTACGGAAATTTCATTCCTTTATCGTCACTGCATTAAGCGAAAGAGAAATATTCAGAATAACCACCTTTATCCTTTCTTCCTTTGCAGGGCATTTCAGAGTTTCCCATTAACCTGCAATTGGTCTGTCTTTTCTGATAAATACTCAATGGTCTAGCCAAATGGAGTGACCCATGGTTTTCCTTAAACTCTGATTTTCTGCCTTAAAGCCTCTCCCCTCCCAGCACAGTCTGTCTGGTATGTCGGCCCTCTCCATTTTCCAGTAAGATCTTACCCGCTGGCCGAGATGCAGCTCAAATGCCACTTCTGCAGCGAAGCTTCCCCCATCCACCCAGGCAGAAGGGTACCCCCCTCTGCACTCTGGCTATTCACTGCAGATTTCAGGCTCCGGAACCCGACCCCGCACTGCCAGCCAACCCGACACACACAACAAGGCTAACTCCTAGGTGACACTGCCAACAAGCACTTGCTGAAGTTGCTGGCCCCAGACGGCATGCTAAGTCTTCACACTCCCGCTGGCTGCCTTTACCTGGCCTAGCACAGGAGATGGGGAGGAGCCGGTGGCCGTGGCTGGGGTGAAGGCTGACCTCTGCCTTAACTGGCCGGCACCCGGAACGGTGAGAGAGGGCTGGGCTGCCCACGCATCCCAGTTATCCGTTTCTGGTTTCTCATTCGTGCTGGTGGGCCACCTGCAGGGAAAAGCACACCACCATAAATAGCAAGCACTTCCTAACACGCCAGCTTTTCACCCACAGCACAAAAAAACCCCAAGATGGCAATCTAGGAGCCTGTGCACCACACATCCCGGACACGTGTGTGGCTCTCGCAGTTAAAGAACGAGGAGAAGAAAGAGCACTGGGCTTAGATTCAAGTCTGAGCTCCACACACTAGCAACATGGATAAAATGGGAACAACATTCTGCCACTTATGGTTAGTTGTGACAGTCACGTGAACTCTACAGCACCAGAGAAACATGCTCATGATCATTGTCATAGTTTGCAATAACAATAGCTAAATGAGAAAAAAATAAATCATATGCCAAAAATGAAAACGTGTCAGCTTGGCAGCTGCAGCTTCTCAACACCATTTCTCTGTCCCATCCATCCCACAGTGAGCACCCAGTCGTGTGCCCAGACACCACGGGAATGACAAGTGGCATCCTTACAGCAAACAGTTGCCCTGGATCTCAAGGATAGCTCTAATTTTGTGATTTTATAATTTTAGACAAACACGTCTACATGAATGCAGATCTAAATGCAATTTACTTTTTACATCATTATAAGATATATAAACAAATTTGAAAATCAATATAATTCCTTTGTTAGACTACACATCCTGATTTCTGGTTTGGAAAATAGTTTGCCCATAATTATAGCAGGAAAACTGCACACCACACATTTATTGAGGAA